GTCGGCCTGGGCGGTCCAGCTCTCCGTGCCCAGCTCCTGGATCTGCCCGGTGAGGGGCCAGGCGGCTTTTGCAGCGACTTAACCGAGTGCCTCTGTATTACCAGCTGACTGGGGGAATTGGGTTCATCCACCACAACTGCACCCCGGAGTTTCAGGCTAACGAAGTGCGGAAGGTGAAGGTGAGTGGCTGGAATGGCAGCGCTGAACGGCGCTCGCAGGGCGCGTCATGGAGGTGGGCAGTGGGGTTCGGCCATGCGGAAGGAGCTGTGAGGGGAGACCCGTTAAAATGTGCCGGCTCTCGGTGTGTCAGAACAGTAGCGCTGCCACGGTTGCCTGCACAAATCTCTTGTTGTGTGTTAGGCGCTGTCCCACAGGCAGCCTGGGATCTGAGAACTGCCAGGCCTCCTGGTGTGGGAGTATTCCCCTTAATTTCAGGAGGGAGGTTAGCCTGGGAACTCTTGGGAATCTTAACGCTTCTTGGGTGAGCCTTGGTGCTGGTTTGGGAGTCATCCTGTCGGTGAGCACATGGCCAGGTTGCAGACCTTTGTGAGCGACCACAGTAACTGCCAGGCACGTGTCCAGCTTCCGCTCGGTCTGGCGGTGCCGCTTAGCCTGCCTGATCAATCTGCTTCTTTTCAGAAATACGAGCAAGGATTCATCACAGACCCCGTGGTGCTGAGTCCCAACGACCGGGTGCGAGATGTGTTTGAAGCAAAAGCTCGTCACGGATTCTGTGGGATTCCCATCACGGATAATGGAAAGATGGGGGGAAAACTGGTTGGGATCATCTCGTCTCGAGATATTGATTTCCTGAAAGAGTCAGAGCATGACTTGCCTCTCGGCGAGGTGAGCAGGGCTTGTGAGCAGCCAGTGGATGTGAGGGTTGCGTTAGGAAACAGTGTGGCTTGTGATGAGGAGAAGGGTGAGTGCGTGGCTGTGAGGATGCTGTGCCAGCTGGAGGGAGCAGCTCCACGTTAGCTCTGCAGGTCCATCTTTAACTGTATTTCCAGGGGACAGCGCCTCGTTCACTTACGCTCTCTCTGCAACTCCTGCAGCGCCGGAGAGTGGCCGTGCAGTTAGCGTTCGCGTGTCTCCTCCTGAGGGGTTATCTCTCAGTGCTGTGGAAGCCACCCTCTCTACAGCTGGTGCTCTCCTCTTGTTCAGTCATTAATTTCTGGTGTTCCTGGCCGCTGCTGAGGTCCCACGTAGCATCCTGGTGCTGGCCAGGGCTGTAGCAGCAAGTGTTGATCTTCCTTTTCTGGACTGCTTTTCCCCGTGTGCCTCATCTAGGCTACTTGCTCTTTAAAACAGCCCCCTGAACATGGAGACTGGCAGTTTAGCCTTGATAATGCTACACTGCCAAACTCCCCTCGTACAGGAGAACCTTGGTGTTTATTCCTGTTAGTTCTGGCATTCCGGTTACACGAGCTGTGTAACTGTAGATCTGCAGTGCTGTCAGGTTACACCACCGGTGCCTCTCAGCCAGCCTGTGCTCTTGACTCACGACTATTTTTAGCTCTTGCTGACCAAACCTGGTATCACATGCTCATCCCTGTTTGGTTTGAAATCGCCTATAAATACTTGTAACAAGAATCTTAAACTGGGAGTAGCTTATAAAAGTATGTGGCCCTTTGAAGCAACGCTGGCCCATTCAGAGAAGCCAGATGAGAATCTCCCTCATCCAGTGCTGCATGAAGCTTGCTGCTGTTAGCATTTGGTGCTTGCCTCTGTCACCAGGCGAGGCTAAGGAGGTGAATGGTGTCCTGCATCTCTCCCCACTCACTGCCCAGCAGTTGTCTTGCTGAGCTGTTTGTTGCCATCCAGTTGCACGCGCAGGTCCCCTGCAGCTCGGGGAGCTCGTGGATCCCGCAGGCTTAGGGGGTGTGTCGGGATATGTTTGCAATTCCTCAGACTTTTCCTGAGATGTAGGGTCTGTCACAGACAGGATTGTGTGTGGGTGCAGGAGGGGTGAACCTCTTTCCTGATGCAAAATGTCTGCTTTTATGGTAGAAATAACTAAAACGTTCCCTCTCTTTGTTGGGTGCAACTAATCTACCTTCCTTGAGGGTTAGAGAGCGTTCCCTTTTAGCTTAGCCTGGCCGCCTTGAGGAAACCTTTTATGAAAACATCCCACGTGAACTTTGTGATCACAGAATGCTGTGGGTGGGGAGGGACCTCGAGGTGCCTTGTCAAGCCTTCTGCTCAAGGTGCGTTCAGCTGGAGCAGGTTGCGTGGGGTTGTGTCTGCATCCCCCAGGACTGAGAGGTTTCACTGCCTCCCTGGGCTGCTCTTCCAGTGTTTGGCCACTGTCGCCGTGAAAGCTTTTTTTCTGCGTACTACGTCAGGTGTTCCCGCGCTCCAGCTTGCGTCCATTGCCCCTTGCCTTTCCGCTGTGTTTTGGTGCTTGTTTGTCTGAGTGAGCGTGTTTGTTTGGATTGAAGCGACTCCTTTGCCCCATTGACCTTGCCAGCAGCAGCAGTGGGTTTATTCTGGGTAGAGCCCTTCCAGAGCCTGTGTGCTGGGCATTGCTGCCTGAAAACGAGCTTGAGAGTAGCATTTCTGCCAGAACAGCATGGGACTCTGGAGGTGTCTCCGGCCTTTTTTGCCTGTGCTCTATTAAAAGGGAGGGCTGTTTGGGTGACATCCCAAAAAAGGGTCATCTGAGAGTTGTCCCTTGCTTCTAGGTGCTCTCCCTCAGCTTGCTGAGGCCCTCTGCCATCTACTGTTTTCACTACACCCATGGGCTTGGGGGCTGATGGCTGCTGCATGCATGGGGAGAGCACATTGGAAGCTGTTCCTGTGTGTTTCTGGAGGCGTGTTGCTGCGCTGTGGGCTCCTTTGTCTGTAGAGCACTCCCACACTGCTGCTGCTGCGGAGCATTTCACGTGGGCAGAGAGGTTCGGTATTTTCAGATCAGTGCGAAGGAGTTCTTGTGACTTTTTATCTTCTCCCTCCCACTAGATCATGACAAAGCGGGAGGATCTTGTTGTGGCCCCGGCTGGCGTAATGCTGAAAGAAGCAAATGAAATTCTGCAAAGGAGTAAAAAAGGTACCTGCGAACGTCTGTGACGTGAGGGAGAGACGTGGAAGCGCTGGGCTGGGAGCAGTAGTGGGTGAATGTGGGCACATATCCGTGCGTGGGTGGAACATGGGAGGGCTGTGTTCCAGCACGAGGAGAGGGCAGTGAGGAGAGAATGCCCGCAGCCCTCTGCCAGGGTACAGAGTTCACAAGCGTTCATCTCAAATCTGTTTGAAGTTGAAGGATTCTTGGCAGCCCAGGTGCTGAAGAGTGCCTGGCTGTCCAGCCATATGTCTTCAGTTTTCTGCCCTGGCCTTCACATTTTGGCACTCGGTTCAGCTCTGTCGGGGCTTGGTAGTTTGACTTTTAACACGTTGTCATGGGTCTAATTGTTAAAAAAGATGCACTTTTTCTACTATCAACGTGAGGATACTGAGTCATTCTCCAGCCCTGCCAACTCCTTGCTCTGTTTCTAGAGCCAGGGCTGCTGGCATCCACAGCCAAGCAAGGTTTGGTAACACACCTCTTTGAGTCTCCATCTTGTACCAGCTGCTGCCCACCTGATGCTCCTGGTGTGCCGCACTGCTCCAGGCTAATGTCCATCTCCTGCAGGAGTCTGCAGTGATGTTCTTTCTGTTTGTTTCAAGGCAAGCTGCCAATTGTAAATGAAGATGACGAGCTGGTGGCTATAATTGCCCGCACTGACCTCAAGAAGAACCGGGACTACCCTCTGGCTTCTAAGGATTCCAAGAAGCAGCTGCTCTGTGGTGCTGCTATTGGGACCCACGAAGATGACAAGTACCGGCTGGACCTCCTGGTGCAGGCTGGCGTGGATGTGGTAGTGCTGGTGAGCTGCCCACAGGCACCACGTTGGCCCAGGTGGTTGGGGTGGGCTGAGGATCTGATCTGAACGAATCCCTCGGACAGTAGGGCAGCAGCGTGGCACTTACTGTCTTTTGTTACGTGCCCTTTTGTGTTAGAATGTGGCGGTTTGTTGACCTCTCAGTCTCATTCAGGCTGGAGTCCTCAAAGACAAGGGATTCCTCTTGCCTGGGAACTTTTCGACCTCGAGTGAGTATGTAGGGTGCATCGAAGCCAAAAGGCTGAGAAGAGAAACGCTGTCGGTTAATACAGAGACTTCTACAAATGCTTCTCCCACTCTGCCGCTATCCTCTCTGATGTCCCTAACTAGTTTTGAATATTTGGCTTCTTAGAATTTCCTTTCAACTGTTCAGTGTTTGTTACTGTGTTATTCTCTGAACTGCGTGATGTCCAGGAGCAGTCAGCCCAGAGCTGCTCTGCTCGTCTCCCCTTCTGGCCTGTAAGCTTTTGGGCACAGCAGTCACTGCCTGTATTTGCACATTGTTTTCTCATCGATTGTTAGCTTGTGAGTCCACCATGCTCTGAGGGCATGGCTGAGCAGCGTTGCAGCTGGAAATGTTTAACAGACACCGTGAGTTGTCCGGGTCACGGAGATTGGCAGGGCCTGAGCGCTCAGTAGTCAACATCTGGTATTTCAGCTGCTCTGCTGCGTGGCAGGGAGAGGTGCATCCCCCCGTCAGCCCTTCGGGGTTTCACAAGGAACATTCACCATTTCACCTGTAGTTTGAGACAGGGCTGACTGTGTCCTGGTGGTAGAGCCAGACCGTTCTTACCCACAGCCAGAAATGCTGCTTGTTGCCTACTGTAGAAGCCCCAGGATTTAAATGCGAAGGATATTACTGAAGTCTTTACAATAAACTGCCTTGGACAGGGAAGGTATGTTATTGTCTTGGCAGCAGCTTCTCCTCTGGTTCAATTTGGAGAGTCATTTTGCCTGCTTAGCCAGCTTAGCAGAGACCCCAGTAAGCAGAGTGAAGATCTGAGACTCTACCAGAGCTGTATTTATAATATTTTGCAGAAATTCTGGTTGAAACTGGTTTTTTCTTTCTGTTGCAGGATTCCTCCCAGGGGAACTCCATCTTCCAGATCAATATGATAAAATACATTAAGGAGAAATATCCTAACCTACAAGTTATTGGAGGAAATGGTAGGCATGTGTTGAAGACTGTGCTTGTCTTTAAATCACACTTGTTTCTTAGACACAGAGGGAGCTGCAGGGACGTGAATGAAACTGTCATCTTGGTAAATGTCTGTGAACTTAAAATGGTTCCCTGTGGCTTGTGGAACAGAGCAAGACCACTCTGCAGATGCAGGGCAGTACCCTGCAACTGCCACAGCTGCAAATATTTTGAAACCTTTGTTCTGCAGTACAGTGTGCTACAGTCCTCTCTAGCGTGTTACACTTTAGCTTCTTTTACACACCAGTTTAAAATTTTGGATAATAGTAACGAATACTGCTTAATGTGGAAATATAATGGAAATTTTCCCTGCCTCTTGACAGCAGAGTTCAGCAATCCCTGTCTTTACCTGGCTGGTGTGTTACTGGTGCTGCTGTTAGCCTGTGCTCTGCCCTCCCTACCTGGTGTGGCCCAAAGAGGGCTTGGCACCATGCGGTGGCCTCTGCTACCTCAGCCTTTGAGCGTAAGCGCATTGCAGAGTAGCCTAAATGGCCGGTGTCATCTCATCCATTGGGGACAGCTGGGACAGCAACTCACTGCTGCTTCTGCAGATAGGCCTGGTAGCAATGGGCAGTCAGGCCTGGCTCTGACACAGGCTGGTGCCCTGGGTAGGGGATGTTTGCAGCCACGGGGGAAGCACCAGGGCGGAGCAGCGTCGCGTGCAAATCTGCTTGTCTCTCTTCAAACCAGTTTCTGCTCCCCACAGTTGTGACCGCTGCTCAGGCCAAGAACCTCATTGACGCAGGGGTCGATGCCCTGAGAGTCGGGATGGGCAGTGGCTCCATCTGCATCACACAGGAAGGTGAGAGAGATCAGCTGCCTCCTAAGTAGGCTGAAGACCTCTGTTTAATAGAGATTCCCTGCTGAAAAGCAGCACAGCCGGGATGGACTTCTCCCGTTGTCAGGGCAGTGTCCAACAGCAAGCCGTCTTTCACCCCCTTCGTCCAGGACGTTCTCATCACCTGGGTCAAACCTTTGGGGTGGCAGCAGCAGCAAAGGCATTTCCCAGTACTGACTGAGACTGAGTAGAGCAGGTGTGGCACGCGCGGCTTTGCCCGAGAGGAGCCACTGGCTTGGTGTGGGATGGGGCTGGCAGGCAGCTCTGCAGGGATAGGGGCTTAGGGGATCCCCAGTGCTGGTGGGTGCAGTGCACCGGGCCGTCTGTGCTCCCCTTCCCTCTGGCAGCAGTGTGCGTGATGCTTGAGTATCAGTCTGCTGGGCTCAATGCCTTTCTGCAATTTCCAGGCCATAATGGGATTTCTGGCCGTTGTCTCTGCAGTTAGCCGGAGCTTGTGTGTGGCAGAGGCCGTGTTACCCTTAGCTAAAAGGTGGAGAGTGGCGTCCCCAGGGCCTGGAGAGAGGCTGCATTGAGGACAGGCTCAGTCCTCGTGTTTTGAACCTGGCAGGTGAGGTGCAGAGAGGTGCTGCAAGGCACTGCAGCCCACAAACACAGCCCCTCTCCGCTTTGCTCCTTGGTCCTTGCCATGGGAGGCAGCAAGAAGCTAGCTGGTGGCTGAAGGTGCTGCATTAGCTCTGCTGATTCCAGCATGGAGCCTTCGAGCAGCCCTGGACCCAGGCTGCGTTCCTGCTTTGCCTGCTGTGGGAGTGCTGGCTGTGGGGGTTTCCTGGTCAGGGCAGTCTGTCTCGGGTGACCTTTCTCGGGAGGCTGGCAGTGTCCTTGGGCTGATGCTTCCATAGCCAGAGCAGAATCAGGATGCACGTGTCCTACTCTGGCTCCAAGGCAGAGGACCTGCTGAGGCATGCTCTGTTCTGCAGTGTGGTGAACATCTCCAGAGGGTGCCTCAGCTGCCACAGGAGGTGGGGTTGGGTGCTGGTTTTGGTGAAGGAACAGAGCAGAGGAGGAATGTGGCGCTTCACAGGAGACGTGGTTGCAAAGCTCTTAACCGCAGCTCCCCAGGTTTTTGGCCCTCTTAGGGCAAGAACTCTGGCTCTTGGGGTTAGGGGCGGGGGGGTGACCCCTCTGGATGGCTGCTGGGGTAGGGCGAGCATGCGCTGTGCTCAGCTGGGCCTGGCTGGCTTGGATCTGGCCTCTGGCTTGGCTCGGGCTAGGAAGGGTTTGCAAGGTCAGCTCTGTCCCACACCGTATGCTCTGCCTAGTAGCAGGTCACTGCTGGGGTCCTTTGTTCTGCTGCTGTTCTTCTGTCTCTAAAATGTGTGTGTTTGTTTTTGTTTAGCTGCTCCAAAGATCCCTCCAGACCTAAAGTCCCACAGCCCCAAATGCCCTTCTACTGTCACGGGCACCTATAGTAAGTCACTTGCCCTGTTCCCAACCCTAATTATGTGTCTTGAAGCAGGACCCTGATTTGGCTGCACATGGCCCTACTGCTTGTTTGAGAATAATTTAGCTGTAGATGCACTTGGGGTTTTGTGGCTTTGGATACTGGTTTTGAATCTGAAGTGGAAGCTGAGAAGCCTTTCTGAATTCCTAAAGCAGGGTCTGAATTGTCAAAGCTGAGGGCACTCAGGCTTGTCCACCCTCCACTCCAAAATCCAGTTCAGGAGCCTGACTGAGCTTTCTGGCTGCATCTTCTGGATCTCTAGCTGGGCATGCCCCCACTGATCCAGTGCTGGGAGGTGATCCCTGAGCAGTCCTCCATCCCGCTCGAAATCTGGCCCCGGTTGCAGGGAAGTTGTGCACTGGCCAAGCTTCACTTGGAGCTAGCTCCCCTGGGGTTACAGAGGGACTTAACTGCGTACGGCCACCTTGGCAGCTGTGTACCAGAACCACATCTTTCCCCACTGACGCCTGATCCTTGGGTGGACTGAAAGGGCTCTTCCCCTGCCCAGCACAGGGTGCAGCTTCGTCTGCTCTGTACTTCTGATGCTGCCGAATCAAGCAGCCTCCTGAGGCAAGCCATGGGTTTTGCCCTCTCTCCTATTTTTGACACGCCTCCAAGGG